GAAATATTTCCATAAGACATAATTTCTTTAGCAATAATAACATTGAACTAAATAGTACAAAGCATAACATTTGTTTTTGGGTTCTGGGTGTGTGGTTTATTAATAATGGAGGTCTGCTCAAAGGAAGCAGAATAACAGCACGAAAAGAAGATTTCTAAGACAGGTGGATCCTGAAGGTAGCTATTGCTTCTGCTGTTGGCTCCCCAAGTGTAGCCGTGTTGGTGGGGTGGGGAGCAGGATGCAATGACGCTGCAGAGTCAGAGCTCCTCAAGTATGAGAGAGACCCTCATTCGCCAGAATTCATGGGTGCACCAGGTGTTCCTCCACTGATATGTCCTGTCACCCCCATGGCAGCTGCATGTACACTGCACCCCCACATTCCTAGGGTCAGCGCGCACAGTGGCTCTACACCCACTCTGCCACGGACACTTAGAACATAAGAAGCACAGGAACTGAGGAACCAGTAATAAAACAGGAGAAATGTGAAACAGATACAATAGGCAACAACAAATCCTTTACATCGTCAGGACTCTTTATCTACTGCAAGTATTTATAACTTCTTGATTATTTTTCTTAACCTGTAAAACATAGACTGAAGTACTTAACAAACGCATCACATCATTCAATTCCTGCTTATCTAACTCAGGGTCACGGTGGCCCAGAGCATATCCTGGGAAGCATTGAGGACAAGGTGGGATAACATCCCTGAGGACGCCAGTCCATCTCAAAGCACATAGCCACACACACTTATGCCAGGGGTAATTTTCTCAATTTTTACATTTAGTAAAGCTCATATTAATAACTGCACAAGGGTATAGAAAAGCAACATTAATAGGAAAATCATATAAGATTTTTGCAGATCTCTGAAGATGTGAATGAAGTAGATCAGGTGTTTTTGGACATGTGAGACAAATCTGGAGTATCCATAGAAAACCCAATTGAACATGGAGAAAACATCCAAACAACATGCAGATATCACCCCGTGCCCCAGTGCCCCCAGCGCTGGAAGGTGCAGATGCTGAACAGTGCATCAGTGTGCCACTCAGGTACATTTTTGAGTTAGTATTTTAAGGTAACGTTTTAAGATAAGTTTAAATAATAAACCTCATTAATCAATAATAAATAATGTATCATGAATACAGAAAATATCAAGTGTTAAGAAACTTGTGACAAAAAATGCATAATCATTAGTCTACAAGTAGAGTACTTGTAAAATGGCATCTGTGAAATGGTTTTACAGAGATTTTACACTGATCAGACAACACAGGTGAGTGTTTGGGGTTCAAAGTACATATTTTATGAAGGTAACATAAGTAGACATAAATAACTGTGTATCTGGATGAGACCCTGACTTCTGTCAAAGAAATATCTGGATGAGCACCTTGGATCAATAAGCTACTATCAGATGGGCTAGATGGACTCTTCTTGTTTGTAACCATTCTCATCTTGTTATTCATTCACCATTTATGAATAGATAATAAGGGACTGATAAAAAAAGTTTATAATTGAACCTTAAGAGAAACTGTTATCTTTGTAACATAGACAGTAGAAGAGTAGTGTTAAGGGCTCCTGGCTCATAACTAGAAAGCTGTCTGTTCAAATATTTGGTAGGCCACTGCTGTTATGCCCTTAGGCAAAGTACAGTATTTACAGTAGATTGTCAACAATTTAGTGATTTGAAATATAGTTACATCCTTAATCCTAATCCTGTTCCGCTGTTAGCAGTTTTTATGATACTGCTAACACTAACCATATATCTTTACGTGTACTATACATGCAGTATGTTATAGCTAGTTTGTATGCAAAGGGAACATTTGCTTACGTCCTGTTGATATTGTTAATTCCAGAGACAAAATAATATTGTTACATGAAGGGGGGTGTTAAAAATCAGGTTCTGATACCAGCTTGCTATGCAAGTTAAACAATTTCACTTGTGTTCTTTTATTCTCCTGCACAGCTCTGCTAATGGAGTAATAACCAGGCCCAGACTTACACAAGACAAAGATTTATTATGATAAATAACACAACCATACAAAAGCTACAAAATACAGATATTTACCAATTCATTTGGTTTCAGGGTCCTACTTTAGACATAGAAAATTTAGAATTCTGCTCCTGTAATCTAAATACACAGCAAAATAATTTAAAGGCCAAAACAAATCATGTGTCCTACCATGGGCTCAATCTCCCTCTCTAAAACACAGATGCTCACAACTGAATGGGAATTATTTTTTTCACATTCTAACAGTACATCACTAACATAGGAGAGATGTTTAAAGCCCGAGGATTCCACAATATAAGAAATTTAGAAATCTTTATAGTATTAATTTTACCTGGTCAGAAACTGGTTCCAAGTCTTATTGACATGAAACTCACCTACAGTATGGAGATTTAGAGGAAGAGGAGGATGATAATGATGTTTCTTCTTTGGTTTCTGTCTTCTCCCTTCTCTGTTTCTCTCCCTCCCTTTCTTTCTCTGTATCGCTGTTACTGTATATTTTTCTATGGAGACTGGATTAATGCCCTAACTAGGGATCGCCAGCTTCACTGCACTTAGTCTATTGGAGAGAGTTTGTCTTTAAGGGGTGTATCTTCCAACTGCAGAAAGTCCAAAAAGCACAATGCCATGCTCGTCTTCGAGCTGCTCCTGCAAGCACCTATTGCTGGAACTCAGTTCCTTGGTCACAGAAGCTGGTTATATGTGTGCCCGCAGAACCTTTACCCCTGGTCACACAAGTTGCAATACATTTATTGCAAGTGGCAAAACAGTAGTGTAAAACAATCTAAAATTGAAACATACATGCATCCCACTGAGAGACATTCAAATTAAATATTATGCCTCTGAGTAACATTGGACTGCATTGTTGAAAAATAATTGATTGATTCGACTACAATAGTTGAATTTTAGCTATCAGTATAATCTTTTTGATTACAATATGCAGTTTTGAATCCAATCCAATTCATTGTGTCCTCTACTTTCTACCTTTTGGCTTAACAAAGGAGTAGGGTATTGGCTGAGATACAAAAACACGTTTCATTGCTACATGAGGTTTTGCAGGAGATTGAGGGTTAAATTCAACCTTGTGGTACACACTTATGACTGTTCAGAGAAACCGTCTCAGACAGATAGCAGACACAAGCATTCCTGGTGTCAAACCATGAGCCAGAGCGGGTTAGAGGTCAGTTCTGACAAGTCAGAAAATGACCAAATATGGATCTCATTTCCTTACCCACCTTAAGAAATACGGCTTTTCAACAGGATTTCAGATAAACAAGAAATATACATCTGATGCAGAAAACTATTTGGTACAGTTAGTACTGTGCTGCAGTAACTCCCAAGACACTGTAAACCTTCAGGTTTGTAGGCAGGTTGTTACGTAGTAATCACTCCAAGTGAAACCAGAAGTTGAAAGCCACTTAAACTACCACTACAACAACTGCAGTGAATACTATTTTCTGTATCCTTTCCACTACACTACTTTTCTGAACCCTAGCCTTAAAATTAAAAAAAAAAGAAAATGTAGATAAAAGTGGAGTGGTAGTATTAACATAAAGGAATACATGTTGTTGGGGTGAATGTGAAACTTGGCATTCCCATTAGTTTCAGCATTGTAGGAGGTCTTCTGTGACTGGGCCAATTCCAAAAAGCATCACAATCCAACAGAAAAAACAACAGCTGTGACACAATTTTTTAATGCTTTGTGTCAAACATTCATTTAAAAACAATACTAATTTCTGCAAGTTATAGCTTTTAAAACGGATCATCACTAAACCTTTATTTTAGGAATAAATCAGATTAATATTTAGGTACCAGATGGAATTTTTGTCAATTGGTGCCACCGATATGAAGGGTTGGGTTGGTCACCCTTGCCGCTCTGTATACCAGAGGAAAGTAAGCAGGGTACTGTTTCACCAAGACTTACTTACACCTGACAAATGTTTGCAAGGAAATTATTTCCAATTTTGGATTAACAAAGTCAATTTGTATTGTTGGCTATTGTACTCTGAATTCTGACCCTGAATTGGATAAAGCAGTTAGAAAATGGATGGACGGTTATTGTTCTGGAACAATCTGGGTGAAGTACAATGCTCAAGGATGCAACAGCAGTACCTCAGCTAGGATTTGAACCACTGCTGCACACCAACTCTAACTAGCATGTAATTAGGAAGACCGCAATAGGAATACAATATTCCGCTTTTGAGACAGCAAACCCAGGGGATTACGTCTGAATTACCCCTGAAAACAGGGACCCGTGGATACTAATGCCAAAAAAGAGGCTGTCCATTAAGGACTGATGATACACAAATTAATAGTTTTTCTGGAAAAAGATTCACAGGCATGAAGCTAAAGCAGATTAACTTGGATCCTTCATGAAATGTTACAACGAGATCTTCCTTTGGGTGAACCAGCTTTTCTCCATAAAATGTTCATATGATTAAATTTTTCCATCAGAAAAATACCCACCCATACATCTATACAGACCTTTTACACTGAAGCACTGTCACACAGGAATACAGGAGATCTTGTGTTAATTGTTAATGTGATGTAAGACCATATGATCATTCCTTTTCTTGAACGCCCTTTTTAATGTTTTTTCACCACTGGGATGGTGAGTGTGATTTGTTATAACCTTATACTCATACAAAGCAAATAATTAAACCAAAAATGTGAATGCAAATGTTTATAAATTTGGATTAAACTTTATATGCTTTATAGCAATATGCTGGAATGGCAAAAAATCCAGAAATGTAGGACAAAGCCCAAATAACTCAGAAAGGGGAAAGACGATTCAAATTTACATAAGATAAGAAACATTTTAAATCCTTCAAATTACCATTTAAACACAACTGTCAAGGTCCTAAAAACAGAGGGTCCCCAACCTTGGTTCTGGTTCTGCAGGGATGGTGTGTCTACAGGTTTTCAGTCCACTTGCACTTAACAGTATGACAACCTGAATCAATAATTGAACCAGTTTCACAGCTTCAAAAAGTAACACCAATGTTGATTCATATTATTTTATTGAACTGACTCATTTTTCAATCAACAGGTTAGGATACATAAAAAAATAATAATCTTGGTGGCAGCCGTTATCATAATCTGGAGGTTGTGAAAACAATACAGAGGGTTGAAATGTCACTGTTTGAAAGCACAGGCCCACAGCACACAGAAGAGAACAGTATGGCTGCCACACCAGTTCATGCACTCATCACTGGTACTGTACATCACTATTTATCGAGGTTTCAGTCATCTTAAAAAGAATGGAAAAAGCAGTCAAGAGTCCCAACTTAATTTACATGGGTACATACATTGCAGAACGTGAAATTAAGACTATTTTTAAAAAGCTGAAGTTAAAAACAGACAAAATTAAGAAGTGGATAGTCAAAAAGATTCAGCTCCACGCTGCAAAACGATTTCATTGCTTTGACTTTCGAGTTGTAGAACTGAAAGAAACTTTTATTTATGTCCACTTGTGCCATTCCCATCACTATTTGAGATCAGAACACGTAATACCAGCTCCTGAATTACATGTTTAGTCACAATTCAGGCATTTGGCACCTTTAAAAAATATTTAAAATTTAGCTTCTTGTCTCTCATGTATGCGTTTGTTGCAAGTTGACATCATTGTTTAGACACAATATTCTGATTACTCTCTTATCATATTAAGGGTAGGGACAATAAAATGTCACAGAACATCATGTTAATACGCCATCAACACTAGTAGCTCAATTTATTTGATCACAGGAAATGTTACATGTAGGGTTTACTCTTTTGTACATACTGTAGCTGTAACAAAGAACATAGTCTAAACCTTCCAATCTATTCGGAATGAGTAAAATCAAAACAGGAAGCACAGGGCACAAGGTGAGACTACACTCACCTTGTGAGAGACAGGACACACACGCATCCCTACACACCACACAGCCCACACGGGGACAATTTAAGATACCAATTAACCTGGCCAGCATGTCTCTGGATGTTGTGAGAAACTGGAGTCCAACAACTATACCTTGTTCACACAACTACACAATGGTAGTTTTAAAAACTGCCGTTCAATAACTACTGCCAAGATGAGAACAGATAATTTAGGCCTTTTTTCCCCCACTTTGTCACATTTGTAAAATTCTTCATGAATACAACTGACAAATTTTAGTATTCTAATATATTAGGGACTGATGTACTTTAAAGGATATTGTACTTGCTAGTGTCACACTACAAATTAAGTAATTGGATGGAAAAAAATAAGACCTAAAATGCAGTCTATAACACTATAGTTTCCACTTTGAGCTCAGACCTTCATATACAGAAGTGTTTCCATTTAGTAAAGCTCATATTAATAACTGCACAAGGGTATAGAAAAGCAACATTAATAGGAAAATCATATAAGATTTTTGTAGATCTCTGAAGATGTGAATGAAGTAGATCAGGTGTCTCATTTCATTCAAAAATGCGAATTACACTTCTTTTGGGCCTTACCCAAAAGTCTCTGATGCTGGCCGAGAAGTTGAGATAGTGAATAATATGTATGCAAATCTTCACAAAGATTTTCTTCATAAAGTCAGATTGAAATTGGATCATTTTGAGGTTTAAGGAGAAGATTCATTTTCTTTACTTCAGGAATATATTTAAGACGTCATCATATATATTACAGATTCATCGGTGATTATTCAATGAATGCATGTCCTGTGTAAACCAGAAATGAAAAAAACAGAACTGTTGTGTAACAGGAAGGCAAAGGCTAGTTTCATTTTTTTTCTTACAAATATAAATACATTTCAACATTTCCAGTGAAATATCATCAGGACCATATTTCACAAGCAAGGCTACCTTCTAAAGTACTGATAGTAACATCAGAACAGCTCATTATTCTGAATACCCCAGAAATGCATATTTAATATACTGAGATAATATCTCTTTCCAAAATCACCATATTATTACACTAGCAGATTTAACATTTTAAGAGCATGCTAGTCAACTTACTTCATTTTCAAACATCTGCTCTCAACATTGCAATACCCTGGCTGCCCAGACGTAGCGCTATGGTCCAACTTCATAGACTGTATATATATTTTAAATGAACTTGGTAATTATAGTGCCCACCAAAACTATCGGGAAAGCAAAGTGAAAACGTATTATTTTAAAATCAAGCAATTTGTATTTATAACCATGAGACTGATATGAATGTCAAGTACAATTTAATATATGCTACCTAATAATTTCATGCATACACATTAGATCATATTAGAACTACTTTGTGTTCAACCCAATCCTTTAAAAGGGATCATAAGTACTGGGAGACAATTCCTGTATTTTTTAACTTGCAGAGTGTAAAAGGCAGGATTTGACTGCATATCCCTTGCATGATTTACTCGCTTGATGTCCGTGATTCATTGAGCTGTTGTTCTGATTCTTGTGTATTGGCTAAAGTCACTTGGAGTTCCTCGAGCCTATTACTGGGATGTTCTGACTTATTATTATTTTTGTTAGCATGTGAAATGCATGTTAAACATGCAAAATACATTCACAGAGGGATTGAGATTGACTTGGCCAGTCTAAGGTTTTCCCCTTTTTTCTCCCTTGAAGACCTCCTGTCATTATCATATTGCCTGGTGAACTCAATAAGGTGGGAACAATTATCTTCTACAAGCAGCAAATTTATTTTGCTGTTGCCATCATTATTTACATCATTAAAGATGAGCGAGACAGTTCCAGAGGCGATCATGCATTACCGGACCATAAAACTTTGCTCAAAACCCTCCTGGTTCATCTTCGTATTTCCAAGCAACTTTTAACCTGGCTTTTCTGTTGTTGGTGCTGATGGGTTTTACACCTTATACTGTTGCCTTTGCAAATCTGCTGTCTCTGTCTGCAGAGTCCCTCTGTACTCTGGAAGTTGCTGGTTATTTCTCTGACAGCTGTTTTAGGTTCTCCTTAACAGTTTTAATCAACTTTCTGTCAACAACTGCAAAGGTGTTCTTGGCCAACGGGGTTAGGGTTAAATTTTGGTAGTTTTTCTTTCAATTTTTAAAATTGCCTGTTTTTCTTTCACACTTATGGCCCTTTTCTCTTTTAAAAAATTCTTTGGTTTTGATGTTATGGTGACTATGGACTCAAAAGACTGAAATCAAAGGAAGGTGGGTTGACAGCATGTTCATAGGTTTTTTTTTTATAAGTGCCTAATTAGTCCACTAAACAGCCTAATTACCATCAAGAGACACCTATGTGAGCTAAAATTACAAATACTTTTTGCTAAATCAAAATAAAGTTAACACTATAAATGTGTTGACCCAAGAGACTAGAAATGAATTGACTGTATAAGAAATAAAATATTCAGGAGATGTGCTTATCTATATTTATATTTCCTGAAAAATTATTCTCAGAGTTCATAATGAAATGCCAGTTTAGTCTTCACTGTCCCAATGTTTTACTCCTTGTCAGCAAGGATAGTTGTCAAGGGAAACTATGGGCATCCATAAGTGATCTATATAGTACAGCAGACTGTCACCAACAGACAACTGGTGTATATTTCAACATTCAGTATATAGTACTTAGATTAATTATTTCTGTAGCATGAAGTAACCAGAGTTTATTCCATTACTTCACCTATTATCCATCAATTATCAGATACAGTAGCTGCTAATTACTGGTAAGGACCGTGGCAACCCAGAGCCTTTCCTAGAAATGGCTTTATACTGTAACACCATCTGAAGACTCTAATGCAAGAGTCACTGTGGCCAATTTGAGACATGAGACATCTCATTAATAATACGAAGAGGGGGAAAAGGAAAAAGAGCCATCATTGTGAACCTATATTAAATCATGACCAGTGGCATCACTGGTCATGTCACTATAAGCACACAACTGGCCAAATGTCATCAGGCATGGGGTGAGGTCAATTTGGCCAGGGTATCATCGGCTTCCAACTAAGAGTAAATCCTGCATACAAGGCACCTCGTAAGGCCAATCTGTAGCTCAAAGTGTATAAAAAGTACACTTTCCTATTCCAATTAAAATATAAAAGATGTGTGATTCTGGGAAGTGTATTTTTAACTTTCTTAAAATAAGCCTTAAAATTAGCCTTAGCATCAGCGCTATTAGCGAAGAAATAAAAATACAACTCTACTACAGTACTATGTATAGTCTCTGTATATTTGTGTATAGGGTATATTAAATTAAATTTACCTATCAGGAAATTCCAACTTTTTATAACTACACTCTTTCCTGCAGCTTTCCGTAAAGCTACTTGCTGAGTCTTAGAAGATTGGCACAAACATTTCTTAAAAACTAAATATGTCAAGTGGATTTAATATCTTTAATCTGGCCTAAAACCACAGTCACTTCAAACATGAAAAATACAATGATGCTAACAATTAACCACTGTCTTGTATCTTAAATTATAATAAGCAGTAAATGGTCAGGTGCCCAGCCCACTGGATAAGAGATTAAATTAGCACCAATTGCTTTGTAAATGCAGGTTCAATCTTTAAGCTGGATGTTTTGTTTATATACTGTGTATCTTATGATTGACTCCTGCTGGCTGCATAGGAACAAGTATTACGACCTGAAAGATGCTTTAAAGCTCTTAAGGCCGCTTTGCTATGAGACTTCAAATCCAACAGTCAGCTGTACTTCTGATGTGCTTTCCAAAGCTTGGGTGACTGCCAGACTAGAAAGTCTGTTGTGGTACTCGCACTACACAAATCATAAAAAAGGGACACCAAGCAATTATTGATATTTTTGTCTGTATTGATGTTGAGCACTGCGGTTCTTGAGACAGAGAATCATTCAGAAATGTGCCCCCAAACTCAATATCATTCTACTGATGAGGGAGCTGAAGAGAATGGATTTTTCTTCCATAAAGTGGTGAGAGGACCCATGAGTGAATATTCCCTTTGTCAGGACTGTGGCATGTCTGCCTTGGGTACAGAGGCTTTGATGGGCTCTGTGAAGACTAGGGAATTCTTTATGCCATGTATTCACCCAAAGTGAAGCTGTGTAATAAAACAAAAAAAGGAGGAGCCCTCATATCTGCATAGACACTCCTGGCCAGGGGGCCTATTATTGCTTTGAGCATGCAGCATGCTTTTTGGTTTCTAACCTGCCCTTCATGTCACTTTCCTCCTCTCAAGAAGGGAGGCTAGATAAAGAGGGGGATATCAGAGGAGACATTCAGTCACCCTAAAACTGGCAACACTAGGGAGAGATTACCTGTCACACTCAGACAACAGGACAGGCCTGCCTTGCACCACAACAACACAGGACCTTGTTTGTATACGGTGGAAGCTAAGAGTGTCTGCATTACAGCATGTAGCCTGAGTACAAAGAAGAAGTAAAAAACAACAACAAAACACACAAAGTATTAAAACATAAACCTTCCTGCCCCTCTACATCCCCTTCACTCATTTGTCCCATATGGACGGTGTCAAAAGCTGTAGAAAACTACAAGCAAACTATCTGGTAACAAATATTTTAACGTGTGTGTTGTACAATAACAGAAAAAAGAGTCATAAAGTGTTATAAAGTACAAGGGAAGACAGATTGAAAGTTGATACCCCCAGGGGGTGAGAGACCGTCGAGGAGTGGGCGGAGTTTTGTGAGGGCAGGAACTTGTTTCTGTGGCTGCATCTCAGTGTGTGTTTGTGTGTTCGGACGGGTGTGCGGAATGTCAGCGGGAGAAGGTCACGGGTGGGGGAAGAGGGGGGTACTTCTGTGGGTTCACTCGCGACTGCCGAAGAGCTGAAGCAGGAAGAAGAAGATGTAGACGATGTCCATGTAGAGGCACAGCGCTCCGAACACATGCTCTTCGGGGCTCAGGGAGTAACGCCGGTTCCCCATCAGCAGCTGCACATCGAAGGCCAGGAACTGCGCGGACAGACACATTGAGGCAGGGCCTCCTGTCAGGACAGCCTATCCCACTCAGAGCCACAGCTCGTGTGTGCCCTGTTCCCTTGGTTACATATCCTCCAGGACCAACAAGAGCTGCCAGAGCGGACACCCTTAGAAACCAGCTTTTTAACCTGGGGGGGCTTTGCTCTCTAGAAAAATTAAGTATGTAAATGTATTCACACAAAGATCATAAAGGAATTTATTCCAGCTATATCTACATAGCATTACCGTAGACCTCGAGTCTATGTCTTTCACTCACAGTTCACCTCTGGTTATTCCTTGCTGTCTACTTTGTGTTGTTTTTCATCTTACAAGAGTTATATGATATAGTGTGATAATATATAATCAGATAGTTTCACAGTAATACATTTCAATCCTGAGATATTTACAAAGCATAAAAAATAAACAAACAGGATGCAACAATTCATATGACACTTCACATGCTTACCAGAGTGAAAACAAGGGCTCCTAGTCCTGCATAGGCAGTCTGTAACCATGGAATCTGGAGGACAGAAAGCACATTCCCATTCACCACTGTGACTGCTGCCAGTGCTTCTGAAGAACCTCCATCAATATCTTCTTATTCCACAGCATCTTCTGACTGTCCGGTTGTGCTTACCCCAGGCTGTATATTTTATTTTTTATCTGTATTTACTTTTACTCTGACATAGGTACACTAATCAGTGCTTGTGCACATCATGATTTACCTACATGTTTTTGACCCACACTATGTAGCATTATATACTGTACACATACAGCACAACCCCAGATTCAAGATAATTGCTAATTGGGAAAAAAGGTACATTCACTTTTTGGCTGAGAAACTGTTTCATTATCTGTAAGCAATATTACAATAATGTTCTCTTATGTGGTTTAATCATCTTTGCCACAAGTCACATGGTACGTTTAAGTCATTGGTTTCAAGCAAGCTCATAAAATGGTATAAAATGGACTGAAGGAGACATTGCTAACACAGCACAAGGTCCTTTTATAAGGCTCCAGTGCTTGTAACATAAGGTTGTGTTGGAACGGACTGGTTGATTTTTGAGTCTTCCTTTGAAATGTTCTGTACATTTATAACGATGAAAAAAATGGTTTTGAAAAATAAAACACAAAACTACCAAAACAGCTCTGTGTGATACAAATATTAGTAATCTTCAAACCAAAAGAAAGCAATTAGCCTAGTTTAGTAAATAAGATAATGAGATTAAATAGTGCAGTATTCTTTGAGTCCAATAAATAAAGTTAGATGGACAGAATATCCTTTTCCTTTTAGAAAGCTTGCATGAATATTCACTGGTTTATCTTGGGAATATCAGAGTCATGGGCTGTGGGAGAAGACCAGTAGAGGGCAGGAAAATGGATAAAACTCATATTGGGGGGGGCTATCCTGAAAGAGGCAGTGGTTGCCAAGGCTACTCACGTATCCAAAGGGTGCAGTGAAGATGAGCACCAGGCCAGTGAGAAGCAGCACCATCATGAGGGAGAACATTAGGCCATGACACGAGGTGAAGTCAAACTGCAGAGACAGACTCACTGCCATGTAATGATGTACTCACGAAAAAGACTTAGGTGTATATGTTGACACACCATTTATATCTTTTAGACAATGTGAGGAAGCAATTAAAAAGTTAAAATTCCGCAACACACAAGTAAGACGTCATTAAGAACATTGTGTAGTATATTAGTCACACTAAGATATTACTGCTCTGGAATCTGCAGAGAAGAGCAAACATATGTTCCCTGGCTTCAGGCCAGGAACTGGCTGGCTGACAGGCTGAACCTTTTTAGCCTTGAACAACGAAAACCACAATTAAGCCAAAGTCAAAGCAGTGTATTCTTTAGAATTAGCAGTGAAACACAAATCAGAGAGCACAAGAGGAAACTAGATGGTACATTTAGAACCCAGAACAGGCACTTTTTTACCCAAACCATTGTGGAAGGAAGAAACAAACAGTTCAGCCATGCTGTGGAAGTCAACAACCTGGCTTCTTTCAAAAAGCAGCTGAATCCTTGGTAGATGGCTGAATGGCCTCCTCTCAGCTGTAACATTATGAGTATGTGTTCCAATGCCCATTGACTGCCCTGTCTATTACACTGATGTGAACAAATACTGTATACTTTAAAGAAAATCAACTGGAGTTTTATCCTCTCTTTGGCTAGCATCATTTTTGTAAAAAATTGCCAATAGTTTAACAAATATGTGAGATTAGTTGGGGGGCAGGTATTACCATAACAATAAGAACTAAGTTTAAGAGACTATCTCACAAATACAATAGCTCCTTACAGCAGCTGAATGGAAAAGGTCATCACAAGATAAAAAACAATCTGAATCTTCTTTTAAACCAAAGAGTGCCAAAACTGTTTCTTTCAGGTCTACGTTCAAGTGGACTTTCATTTTGGTGCTGTGATATAAATAAACGAGAAGGAGACATCCACCCAAATAAAGAAAAATAAATTTGTATGTGGGCATGCAAGTATTACTAACAACAATTAAAAACAATTTTCTAAAAATAAATTACACACCCCCCAAAAAACTGGGCGTTTCTGTTTTAGTACAAGGGTTTGGCAGAATGGTGTATTCTGCACATGAATGGCGTTATGTATTATGCATTATTATGTATTATTCATGTGAGTTGCAAACTGATTACACACCTAACAACTCAAATTATGGTATGTTGAATCATTGAAAGCTCACACTGTTTTTGAAAATGTGAAATAAGTCTTGCTAATTGACATAATGAATTTTTTTTAGATATTTAGATTTATTTGCTATTTTACACTAAAACTATATTATGCAAGTACTAAGATTTTTTTTTAGAAAAATATTTTAAAGTGAAGACAATTTTGATAATAAAGTGCATTTAATTTTTAACATTCTGATTTCCAGTCTCTTGTGTCCTTCTAACCAGAGGTTTAAGCTACTGACTTACGAACCATGTAAGTGGTGCTCTTACCTTTGGAACTAAACTATTTGAATTTCACTGCATTCTTGTACAATCAGACCTACCTGAAACTGCTCCTCAATTCCAACTAGCAAAACAATTTCTGACTTCTCTACCTGTGTAGTGGGGCTGCTGGTGTTGGATGGCTGCCACAAGTCTTGTACTGAGGTGTCATGTACAGGTACCATTTCAGTGGTAGATGAAGTAGGACTGCAACTATGTTCAAAGTGCTTTAGGATCCTTTGAAATCTAAACAGCATTATAATTGTGATCAATTAATCTACTGATCATGAACACAGGCCTTGGATTACAACTGCTTTAGAGGAACTGTGAGATTTAGAACTGGCAATCATTTTGGAAACTTTTTTTTTTGTTTTTTTGGAATTGTTCCTGGACATTAGACAAAACTGGTCTTCAAAACAGGCTGTCTGCAACCTCTTTTCTTTTCCGGAGACTGTTATTTATGTTGTATGAAAATATACATCAAATATGATTTTACCACAGCTCTAGTAATGGGTATGCTTTGAAAGAAATGGCAAGTGGAATGTAATTCCACGACAAGTTATCAGGGGTGAAAAATGTGCTGATGAAAAGAACGTGACAAAATTGCCATCGAGTTGTTAACTCAATGTAATTTTGGTGATGACAATCTGCTGATGAATAGTGCTTGACAAAATGATAGGATGCCATCTGTAACAATCCAAGTGCACTGAAAGCTATGCCTGAGTGTCTGACAAACAGACATGTTCTCTCTATTGTAGTATTCTCTTCCTCTTCTCTTTTCCAACTGCTGTAATACAGCATTCTGTACCAGGGAAGATAGTGTTCAGCATGATAAGGTTTCTTTGGCAGAACCAGGCATGTAAACCCCAGGCAGCAAGCCCAGGGGATTCTCAGGGGATCTGCAATGCCATTCAGCACACCCACAGCTCCAATGCACCATATCACAGCATTCAAGACGCACCCAGTCAGCTCACCTTGGTCTGAAAGCAGAAGAGAGTGACTGCCAGGCACACGAGGGCAGTAATACCAACACACAGCATCACCACTTTGGTGTTGTGGTAGCTGCGAAACCAAAACACATGCTTACAAACTGTCAGAACAAAAACAATCCGATAAACAGTTCACAGTCCTTCCCTCAGTGTCTGAGTTCATGAGTTGTCCTACTCATTCACTCTCTTATCTGAACACTTAATCTCATTCACTCTTCCTGTATTACTTAGTCATTCCTTGTAGTAATATTTTAGAATGCTCACAGATTTCTTCTTTCATTTTTTCCCCAAATGAACAACGAAACATGAACCAGAGAGCACAAGGGGGAACAAGGGGGAACTAGGTGGAAATGCATTTAAAACTGAGAAACCTAACTTCTTTACCTATAGAATTGTGGCTGTCTGGGAGAAACTGCCCTGCCTTGTTGAATCCAATACAAGGTTTTTGTTTTTAAGAAAGGGCTGGATGTGATCTTTGAATTAATAAGCCAACTACCAAAGAGGCCAGGTGGGGTGGACAACCTCTTTTAGTTTGTAACAGTTCTTATGCAACTAACTCCCCTTCTCTCATTATCTTGTCACTCATAACTCTCACACTTTGTCTGTCATAATCTTTTAATCACTGCCTTAGCTCTTGCTTTTTTAATTGCTAAGGGACTTTCACACTCCAGCAGCTACAGTAGGTGTTCAGGCACCACCACTCAGTCATTCCTAACTCATTCATTTATATTTAAACCATTTCTTGACTCCCAGGTAGTATATCTTACCTTGCCAGCATTCCTGCCATATAGGACATGGCCAGGGTCTGAAACAAGAAGAAATGGAGTGCACAGTCACTGCATGGAAAGTTAATTTCAGGGTACCTGGGGACTGGAAAACTGTCTTTCTTATTTGCTCTTTTATTTCACTGCTGTTTCGTCTTTGAAAACTTAAGGATCATAGAATTTTCCCCACAAGCAACATGAAATGGTTTAGCATTTCAGTCATAATGAGAGGAATAAAGAAGACTGAAAATGCAGAGCAGGCGTGTCCAGTCCAAGTCCTGGATGTTCGTGAGGCTTAGGGTTTTCAAGGTCTCTTCAAGGCAACAGCACCTGACGAGCTGGGAGCTGCTGTTAAACAGATCCGGTTTAGTACAGTAACCAGCACGTTAAGAGACACATCAGCTCTACAGGACCAAGACTGTACACCCCAGATATAAAAGAATAGTGGATTTATTCTTTTAAAGATAAAGATTAAGTGAACTTTCCTTATGCTAGAGGATGGCATTCCAGCTTTTACTGTATACCAACCACCCTGGTTAGCTGGTTTGCACATTTTTTGCGATGGCTTTTTGAAATGTGCTTTCTGATAGTTAACAAGAAGGAATAATATAGAATGAGATGTATATAGATAATTCTACTTTACAACTCATCAGGACAACTTCAAGACCCTCAAAGCCTTGATATGGTGCATTTTTTGTACCTGAACTGTTACACTTTTCTTCCATTCTCAAGGTGGCCTTGCACATCAGTATTATTTACTTGGATGCTGCTTTTATCTAATGACATTTGCACCCATCAATAAATCTGGGTATTTTACTGGAGCAAATAATACCTGACTCATGGGTACAACAGCATTGGCCAGAACTCTAACAACTACTCCACAGTACTGCCTCTTCAGACCTTTGTCAATCACTAAGTCTGAACTTGCTGCTATTGAGTCAGTGTACGGTACCATTTCCACACTTCAAAATGAACCAGACGACAATTCAGACAAAGCAGAATACGTGACTGGAAGATGACAGAAATAACCAGCCAAATAAAATAAACAGTATATAAGAAGAGAGCAGTTGGTGGATGCCATCATCACCAGTAAAAGAGAGGAAAGAAAAAGACCGCTCTGAAACACAGCTCATTGTCAGTCCAGCAGGTCCACATCCCATTACATAGGACACAGGGAAGCTGAGAGGAAGCTACTCAACTCTCAGTGAAGGCCACTTCTGCATCAAAAAACAGCAGCCCAGGGTGGAGACTGGTGATGCATTTCCCTTCACGGAATACTCACAAAGATGCCCAGCAGGATGAGATTGGTGGGATACCGCCGTCTGAAAAGAGGAGAACAACCATTTATTTATCCTTTAAAAATCAATATCACCAGTCCTGTTGATTTTCAACACCATATCTTCTTGTTATTTATTAAGAAATTGTTTATAATTAGCGTTATTAATAATAGACTTTAGATATGGAAAAAGTATTTGTTTTCCTTTTTTATTGGGTTGAATGTGTTTCAGGGGATTTTTATTGCTGTTCTTTTTTTATTTTATTGCCATTTCAGTATTTCTGTATTCAGGCATTGTGTGAAATTCAGTATATGACTATGCTATTATGTATTCTCATTGTTTGCAAAGGGAGTGAAAATCCTTATTCCAAATATTAAAGTTAAAGGTCTTTACTTGTAATAGCCAAAAGGAAGAAAAAAATATTACATTTTATATGGGTAACTTTTCAGCAACTTATTTAATTAATTCCTCCCAATCAATGAATCAATCCAGCAATTTTAAATTTTGAAAACTCAGCACCTCTTCCTACAGTGCAACACAATGATGAAATCCTGCCTCCAAAAAATTCAGATGCCTGTTTTGCCAGCAGAGGTCACTGTGGCCCAGTTAGGAGTACAAAACCCAAAGCAGCTCTGGCTTCCCCTAGGCAGCCCTGCACAAGGATCATATGAGATCACAGCATTAGCAGCGTGAAGAGTGTTGTGTGCTTGATGTGTCTCTGGTTCACTCATCCCATAGCTGACTCATATAATTACTGGCATCTGTTCAGTGTTTTTCATCCCAAAGGATCCCAATATGTTTTGCATATAAAACAGAACCACTTCATCCATCACTGAATGCAGATCCTGGGTGATACACAGCAGTCATTCCACACCAGCAGGCCCACTGCACAGCACTTCAGGTAAAGAAGTGAGAAATAGCTTCTCTAAGGGAGTTAGGGAGTCCTAAGGGAACAACTTGGGGAGGCCAGACTTTAGTCCAGGGCTCTTAATCACTGGACAGCACCTCCAACACCACTGTGTCTCCAGGGCAACGGATGTGAAATTCAGGGTCAGCACCAGTTCCTGCAGCAGCCTGGTTTTCCTTAGAGGTCTCTAATTCCCCTACCAACAAGCCCCAGGTTTAGCTTCTGAGATGGTAATGTTTAAACTTCTTATAAAGTATTTCAGAACACACAAGGCTAACTTACAAGGCTTAGGATACAGGCCACAGGGCAACATTTCTAGGACTAATTAAACATTTACAAAGTACTTTATTCAAACATTTCAGGGAGCACGTCTGCCACTGTACACTCTGGAAGAGGGTGGCAGTGGTATAAAACTTTAGGCTGAGTGGTGTGACCCTGAAAACTATAACTGATCATTAATCAATGGGAGAAACTAGTATCCCACAATCTGTTGAATTGTATTTGATTCAATGATCTTTTATTTTTATCTCAATTAAAAAAAAAACTAAACACTTGGTTTGATTACAATTTACCTCAATTAAAAATAATTGTTCATTGGTTTGCCCTTTTTCTAAATATATTTTCCTTACTTTACAACTTTACAACTATTGTAGTCACCACGTTTCACATTAATAATAAATGGCATTTTAGAGTAAAAAATATGCACTGGACTAGCAGCCCAAAACATCATGTGCAGAAGTGGTTATTCTCCTTACAAAGCCTCTTGTTTAGGGGAAATGATTTAGTCAAATAAAATGCACCTCTACAATTTTTTTCCTTCATTCCAAGAACACCTACAAGACATTCCTATTAAAACACGCTTCCTTCAACATCAAGATGGCTGGAAATACTTCTGCTCAAAGCCTGGCCGAGATTCAGATTGTGATGTTTCAGAAAAAATATTAGCAGTACCATGAAGCTGTGCTTCCGAGTTTTCATTCTTCAGATTTTGAGCACCTTTCCAACTGTGTGCTTGTGGGACAATTATTTGTGGTCAGGTCAGGAGAGGAGAAGGTGCAACATTAATGGATTTTAACTGCTTCAATGTTTCAAGGATTCTTTAATATGCCACTGTTTTAAGTTGTTGTGCAGAACTTGACCTGGGAATACACTTTACTAGATTCAGAATGTATTGAAGGTCTTTGTGCCATCTTACAATTTAAAAAGATCCTTCTGTTCAGACCTTAGCCAAGATTCAAAATCATACCATAAGAAACTACCATTGAGGGGCACAAGTCATATTGAATCAAGTAAAACGGAAATAATTCATCTTTTATCTGAGGGTTCAGTTGTATGATCTTTTCTGCCTGACACTCACACTTGTTAACAGTGTCATGTCTTGTTAGGTTTTGCCTTGTAATCTGATTTGATATTTACTGTCCTATTCTTTCACCCTTTTATGTCTATAACGCTGATAAGAACATAATAAAGCCATTTGGCCTGTTTGGTACTTCACAGCTAATTGATCCAAGAATCTCATCCAGTCATTTCTTGAAAAAAAGTATCGGCTTTAACCACATTGCTGGGCAGCTTTTTCGGCACTTGTGCCCTCTGGTTCGTGTTTCACTTTTAATTCTGAAGGAATCTGCCCGTTACACTTTGTCAGTGCCATGGAAGATTCTGAATACTTGTAACAGGTCCCATCATACTTTAGGTTCCTGTGTTGAAGATTCAAACCAATTTGATCCTTCAGGCTATCACATGGCTTTGTCCCAAAAATGAATCTGCTTTCTCTTCTCTGGACTGTTTCCCGAGCAGCAATATATGTTCTATAATGTGGTGACACTACTCTAAATTATTCTAAATCCGAAATGACAATATTCTAAATGAGGCCTTACTAGTGCTTTATACAATTCTGACATAACATCCCTTAAATTTAAATTCTCTGATTTAAACTATTAGAGTTTAAATCAAGGGATATTATGTTAAAATTGTATAACTGTACATGTATGCTGTATTCATCTTGGATCTGTTCTCTACTGACTTACCTGGTTACATAAAATAATTCAAGAAAGCAACTAAAACAGTCAAGGAACACCTGAAGAAGGCTCCACGGCCGAAACATTGTGTTTTCTTTCTTCTTTTTTCAGCATGGAATAAACCTATTACTTGCTCCTTTGCAGCCTACGCATGCTGACGCAGCTACCCACCTGAACTAAAACAGTCTCTTTTTTAAAGTGTTGGAATAAGTACAGCTGACATATGGGATTTGGTTAATTACCAAGGCGCTGCACTGTATTCATGCTGTAACCCAGATTGAGTGAAGCCTGACATTTAATCTCACCTGGCACTTGTACTGCACACCAGCACCAGGTATGTTCCCATAAAGGTGATGCTGAAAGGAACAGAGGACAACTTAAACACACACCACAACCAGGAGAAAGTGAAACAGTGAAACCTGCACTGAAGAATTTGAATTTTGTGGTATCGTTATTTTTGCCAGCAGCCCTTTACGAGACTTTGTTGCCAAATAACCATCAAACTGTAGACAGTTCTTTAGGTGCAGCTTCATTTCCAGTTTCAGTTTTGAGTATAATTTTATTCATTTTACAAATACACCAAAATACACAAAGAGGGGGGCAGAAGCTGACAAATTAAACAAGTTCTGAAGATGAGAAGAAATTATCGACACTTGCTATCACAGCTTCTGTGCAGGCAAAATGTAGGCCAGTTGCACAGCTTTGTCTAAGAATAATTTCTACAACTGAGCGCAACCAGTTGCCATTTTAGGGTATCTCAGTCTACAAGCAAAAGATAAGCTTTGTGTTCTCTGTTTTTTTGGCTTTATAAATGCTTTATGAATTATTTTCTACAAATAGTGAGCAGACAGCACTTGATCAGATTGATGTGGTTACTTACTATGAGGCAAGGTAGAGAATACGGTTGTACTGCACAAACTGTCTGACCTGTTCGCTGCAAGAAAAACCACAAAACGATTAGATATGCGTCTTCTGTTCTTTGCAGATGCAGCCACATGTTCCCTCTTGAATTGCACCATGCAGACTCATACACACGAGGAACTGGAACTCTGGAGCTGCTGGCCTGAGGACAGAAAATTCAGACTTTACACTGAACTTAATTGGATGGGGGTCTGAGAGGATTAAACTCCATAAGAGATGACGGACCAAAATGGAAACAAAACAAAAGAAGATGATGAAGCAAAGAATTCTGCATTCATATACCTAATTTCTAAATGAAAGCTGCACTGCGCAACAACTACTGTAACCTCAGAAACACACGACTGAATTATGCCCCCTGATGATCAGCCACAGTGCACAGACAATGGACCTGCCAGGGGGAACAGTCAAGGTTTCTCACCAGAAAGTGAACAGAGCCACAATGCCAAATGTCACCATTAGCTGAACCATCAGAATGGTGAAGACCTGTGAAACAGAGACAACAGTGCTGTCAAAGAGAAACAACTGTGTTCACTGCAATACAGCCATACACTTGCTGTTTTTACTGCAATATACAGTATAGCAAGAAACTATCAGGTTGTGAAAATGCTCGCTTCCAGGACAGAAATTAAATAAAACTTCTTTCTATATATTTGAATTGACCCTTCCCTACAGTTTTACATTCTTTTACAGACTAGGGATTAAGGTTTTTCTTTAGCACAACAGTATCAAACATTTACATTTTCTAAAATATAGTACAGGAGAGGAAAGCCTTTTTACTTTCCGTTTTTAGTTACTGAACTACAGTGAGACGTCCAATCATGTCTATTTCTTGTTCATCTCCCGTCTCCACATTTCTCACAAACACTCTCCAGCTTTTTCCTCTCTTCGTCTCCCTGTACCATCTCCTCTTCCTTCCTCTGTCTCTCTTCCCCTTGTATCAGCTCCAGCTCCTCTCCCTCTCTGTCTCACCTTGCGTATGAACATGCGGCGTATGTTCCTGTCCTCCCAGCCATCTCCGCTGAGGCCGTCACAGCTGCCGGTGGTGCTGGGGTCCGAGAACGGCGAAGACATGTCCGAGGCATAGGGGTTAGTGTAACCTGGACCTGAGTGAGACGGACAGAAAACAGAGGAATTAGTGTTGGTAAGCGACTCACCCAGGTGGACTGGATCTAGTTGGAACACACATTTCAGGCACCATTTCTACCCGCCCTAACCAGACATGGGCTTGAGTGTATTTGCAAACTTTAAAAAACACGGTTTAAAGATTATATTTACCATTCAAATAACGCCTTTCAGTCACACCTCCATAAACTACCATCCATTCAACTCATTCAGACCTACAGTGGCTGTGTATATAACTGGGAGTTTTTGCTATTGATTGACAGAAACCACTCTTTAATGTCAAAGTAAAAACAAAATTCTACAGATCCACCTAAATTAAAAATAAATATAAAATGAAAAATAACTGAATGCATTAGTATTCTCCCCCTTTGAGACACGTTTTGGTAGAGACATATTTGGTAGAAACTACAGTCTTCTTAAATACATTTCTAACAGCTGTTTGGACACATGTTTAGAACTGTCAGTGAACAGCAATTTTAAACTGCTGCTATGGATTCTTGATTGGATTGAGCTCTGGGTTTTGACTGGACCACTCCAGAACACTGACTTTTTTCAATTCCAGCGTGACTTTGGCTTATGTTTTGGGTCATTTTCCTACTGGAAGATGAATCTTCTCTCAGGTCCCATGTCTCTTGCAGGTTGCAACAGGTTTTCCTCCAGGATTTCCCTGTCTTCGTTAAGTCCATTTTTCCTGTTATCTTCACAAGTCTTCCAGGCCCTTATGCAGTGAAGAATCCGCCTATTATAGATGCCAAAAAGCTCAATTTTGATCTTGTCGGACCATAACATCTTGTTCCCCTTGGTCTCAGAATGTCCACTGTGTCTTCTCGAAAAGTGTAGTTGAGTTTTATCATTCGTTTTTTGTCACTCTCCCCTTAAGTCCAAATTTGGATGGCACCCAGTATGCACAGTTTCTCCCATCTCAGCCATTGAAGACTATAATTCCTTTAAAGTTGTCAAAGGCCTCTTGGTGGCCTCCCTGACAAGTGCCCTTCTCGCCTGGGTAGTCAGTTTTTGAGGACACCCTGTTCTTCACAGTTTCACAGTTGTGCTGTATTTTCTACATTTCTTTATAATGGACTTAATTGTGCTTTGGGGGATATGAAATGCCTTGGAAATTTTCTTATACTCTTCCCCTGATTGGTGTTTTTCAATTTCCTTTGTCTTCATGATTTACTTTTTGTTGGGAGCTGTACTAATAGAACGATACAAGTACTTGGGGACTGTTCTGGACTCCAAGCTAAATGTCAAAGCCAATACTGACCCGATCCTCAAAAAAGTGCAACAGCATGTTTTGTTCTTAAGGAAACTTAAGTATTTAAAAGTCGATGATTCATTGTGATTTTGTTCTATCGGCCCTTCCTTGAATCTGGGTATTCTTGTGAAAATGTCAGATGTCATTGCTGTTGATCTTCCTGCCCTCTCCTCCATCTATCATAGACGTGTTTTGCGTAAAGCAAAATCCATCTGTGACGATTCTTCACACCCCTTCTTCAATAATTTCCAGTTACTCCCATCAAAACGCAGATACCGACTCCCCAACTCCAAAACCAACAGATTTAAGTTCTAATTCATATCTGTAGCCATATTGTTACTCAACACTTTGTTTTTCTTCAGTCCGTCTGTACAGCACCACTGCTGCCTAGAGATAGATATATTTATCCTACACTCATGTGAAACGCCCTAATTGGACTCTATTCAACAAATTATATGACTTTGAAAGACATCTGATTACACAAGAGCCTATTTAGGTGTGTCGTAGTAAAGGGGGTGAATACTTACGCAGTCACTAATGTTCTGTTTTATATTTCTAATTAATTTAGGAGGATCTGTAGAATTTTGTTTCACTTTGACACTATAGAGTATTTTGTGTTGAACAATGGCAAAAAAATACCACATACATACAGTATGATTGTATTTTGTAACACAGTGAAATGTGAAAAACCCCAGGGGGGGAATACTTTTGATAGCCACCGGACCTGGACAAGATCTAATCAACCACTTCACTGTGTTATTTTTCAAATTTCCAGGGATCATAAACAGCTAAATTTGAGTTCAGATGAATGGGATCGGGGTGGAGGGTGTGGAGATGAAAGAAAGGGGTGGCTATAGTAGAGGGTTATGCCTGATTTTCAGTCGTAGCCTTCATTTACATAATCGTAACAAAATCACAGCGAGTTGTAGAGTTGCAGCGTGCGCCGGTTACCATCAGTTGTGTAGTGTGACACCCCCAGTGACTCATTCATAGTGCCCTAACTGCCCCTACAACTGGTTTGATTTTCTTGTAGCGAGTCGCAGGTTGTAGGGGCGGGCAGTGAGCCAGATGTGTACTTGTGAGATATATTATATTAAATGTTATAGTGCAATACTCATTTGTTTACAATATTTGTTTTAAAGGTGTTTTATTTTTGTCAATTTAGTCTATATTTATAAAGAAGAATTATATTTTTGAAGATGTTTATTTGTGGATACCAATGTCTGTGTTACACTTTTCAAGATGTTTTACGTGCTTGATCTCCATGTTGTTTGTTTACTGAACTTTCATTTTCCTCTTGTGCTCCACATTGACTGGCTGCCAAAAGGAGGCATCCTTGTGGTACTTTCGTGACGCCATATGAGATTTGGAACCACGATGAAAAGTCATGAGGAAAGGAGTCAGGCTGTAATTAGTCACCTGCTAAGATGAGATTCAGCAACTGCAGACACTTCATTTGACATGCTCTCTGACTAGAAGTCATGTTGAGTCCTGTAGTGTGACGCTGGCTTTAGCTGGACAGAGAATGGGTGACCAGTACTACAGTGGAAAACAGACATGGCTCGAAAAAGAGAGGCAAATATAAGAAAGATACTTTTCACAGAGTGAGCGACACATAGAAAGACATATCCCAATGGTTAACACAGCACAGCAAAGCCTAATCTTGAAACAGTTTGACGTAGAGTACATTCAAAAACAATATGTGAGTAAAGAATGAAAGAGTTGTTTGACTGAAACAATCTGTAGCAACGGAGTGGCCACTCACTTGGGGTGGGGTGTACATAAGCCCAGCTCGGGTGCATGGGCACAGTAGGGGGCGGCAGAGGGGGTGGCGGGGTGGCGTAGGGGGGGGCTGCAAACCCCGGCTCCTTGTCCCCGGCTGTGGCCTCAGCGTAGCTGGGGGGAGCAGCGGGCAGAGTCATGGTGGCGCCGTTGAGTCCTGTAGTGGGGTTGAGCAGGAGGCTGATGGGCTGGAGGGGAAGAGAAGAGTGCTGTCAGCATCTGAAACACAGGACAGTTGCTGGCTGACAGGCGTAAAGTCACCCCCTCCAAGTGCCTCCAAGTGCCCGATCCCAGCACACTGAAAACCACTGGTGGCAGAGGGTGAGAGTTAAGTTCCCTTGAGCACCCAGAAAAGTGAGTCACTATAATCAGACTTGTGATACACATCAGCTCTTTTCCATGGTATTACACAACAAAGTGTCGTCGTCCACTGCAGGTACAGATTCCTCTGGCTGAAGAGCTCTCATCGAGAGACTCCTGGAAGGAGGCCAGCAAATCTAATAATAAGGTGACTCTCTGGCCTAATACACACTGACCAGTCAAAAAAGACTTAGTGCTGAGTTTGAAGTATTTTGGTCCTGATAAATACCTTAAAGAGCTTAGAAGCATTAAATCTGCTGTGAATGATCCTTTCCTGTTGCTGGGTTAAAAAAACTGATGTTGCAATGTCACAACACAAGTAACATCAGAAAACAAGAGCAGCAGGTAATGTAAGAATATCACCTTTGTACTGCAAATAGTGTAAATCTTAAATTAAGTTAGAAGATATTTATAAAATACTTAAAAAACAAACAGTATTTATAAAATATCATTTTTTTAACTGCAGTTTTACTACATAGGGCAAAGAGAAACAGATAAATAACCATCTTGCATTGGAAAAACAACCCGGGCCCCATTCTCTCTCTAGAAATCATCTCCCCTCATCTGCCCTTTCCCAAGTCACTTGCTGCTATTTCCAATCCGTCTGCATGTGCAGCATACACTGTTATGTTCTTTCGCATTCTTCTTAACAAATAAGCAATTTAGCCTTGCCTTCGCACATGCTACTTCACTTAAAATTTCCCGAGGGAGATTTGAAGTGACAACACACAGTCAAGGTCACTCGGAACACAATTCTTCGGCTACAGGAACATCAGCGTTCCATTTTCTGCAGAACTAAATTAACAAAAGGCAACTTGCAGCTTGCTTGTTAGACAATAAACATTTATCTGCAGTAATAAGCGCAACACAATAAGGCAATAAGGTGATACACCAATGCCAAGAGCTGAAGCACAGAAAATGACAGCCAAATGGGCTGATTTGATATTTATACGTTAATATAGCATCCTATATACAGTATTTGGTTACAATAGGAACTTTGGAATAGGAATAAGACTTTTTTATTTGACTCGGCCATATCACAATATACTGTATACCATACAACACATATTAAGAGTAAGTTAAACTGAAACCACCATTCATCTAACTTCTAATCTATGTTCTCATGTGACTTTTTAATTTCCTGTACCTAATATGTAGATCTCTCAGTGGTGAATAGTCCCTGGTATTTTCAGGTGAATCAGAAAGCAATAAATTAATTTTTATTTGAACACACCCAGAGATTGGGGTGCAAGCTACTAGCATTTCTTAGGAAAACAGACACACACAGCCACAAGGTCCATAACCAGTGCTCTTTATTTACAGCACTAAAAAAGTCCACAACAAAACATAAAGCAAATCAAAAGTCCAAGTTCTTTCTTGAGCTACTAACTACATTTCTTCTCTTCTCTCAATAAACTGTATGTACCAGGAAGATAAGCTGCTTACAAACTCCACCTTCGCAGTCTTTCTCCAAGAAACCTCCTCGAGAAAACACTCAAAAACTCAAATCTCTCCTTTTTTCTCACTCTCAGAGACTCTCCCAAATAAGAACACCTCCTGGGATCAGGCACTGATTCAGCTCTTTCACTCACTCCAGCAGGGCAGTCAAGTGGTTCTGCCCCTCTCCCCCAGCCAGCAGATTCCGAATGACCACTGGAAGAGTCTGCTTCCTGTTTTATAGTTCATCACCTGACCAGCTGGGACAAGACGATTGGTCAGGTGATGACTGAGTGTAGCAGGACATGGCCCACAGCTTCCTGGGGAATACAGTTCAGACCACAGCTCCCATCCTGACAGGACTTGTTGTCCCTTCACAAATGTCTGACTTTTTATTTTAAAAATACATTGAAGACAGCCTAAATTCAAGAAGACACATATAGAGAGATTTCTACCCTTTATGCTTGATCAGTGTCATTTTTCTACTGTGTATTTTTGATGCACATTTTTATGCTTCTACCAATTTCAAACTTTTGTTCTGATTACTGTTCGTGCTATTTCTTTATTGTAAATAGAATCCTTTTGTGACAGTGTTGGGTCTCAATAAATTAAAACATCTTGATTAAGTGAAAAATAGATAGCAAATAATAATAAGCTAGGATAGTGTGCTCTCTTGGGTTTTTTTCTTTCTGTTTTTTCAAAGTCTGGGCAGGATGTAAAGAAACCATATTTGCCTAGCATCTGAGATGATACATAACACACAAGGAAATAAGAAAAGAATACAGAAATGAAAGTAAAATATTAAAAACATAACTAACATTGAACTTTCACCTGGTTACTTAAGAGATGATGAGTTTAGTTGGGCATGTCAGCTCAGTAGCTTGAGCTGGAACACAAGTTCAAGCAATGATTGAAACCTGTCTACAAAACAATAAAACATAAACCAAAAAGGTTTAAAAAAATTCTGAGGATTCTCTTCTCTGAAAGAAAAGCTGCATCTAGGTGTGCATATCTTTTTCTAGTTCCTGGCATTCATTCAGTTAACTGGTAGTGCAAGTTATACCACAATTTTGTTATTGCCTGACAACCTGCATTTATTTACTTAAACAGTAAAACAATAGTGCACTTTACTATACCTTTAGATATAAAAAAAAGTTGCCAAACACAAACTTGTTTACTGAAAATATGAAATAACTGTCATGTCTGACGGAAATACAACACCAGAGGAATCTGGGCTCTAATAATATTAATAACTCTTATTGTTATCATCTTTTTTAAGGTGACATTGTTGGAAAGAGCAACAGAGTTCTAACCATCTTACACATTCCAGTCAGTCATCTATCCCAAAATGTAATGACTTACTGTATGTTTGCTGAACTGTGATCCTATAAGCAATTATGGACTAAAATGTATAGTAGAAACCTGGAAATCACAGACATTCTAATATCCAAGTGAAAAACCACAAATTAAACTGCGGTTTAAATAGGATAAAAGCACCACATATAGATCAGACAATGAATGCAGCATAGTACAGTAATTATACTAATTATACATAATCACCTGGCCAAGCACTATGTATACTGGAAATTATTAAGATTTGCAGCTTATCTTCCTGGTTAACTCTTTTAACTATTCAAAGACAAAAGTACAACTACAAATACTTTTTGCCATTTTAAGATGTGATATGGAACAAAATCAAATGCTATGGAAGGAATACATTTTTGCTTGTCACAGATGGTCATGGGGGGATTTCAAATGAACCAATCAGAGAATATGGCTATTCTGAAGCCATGTCCTACAGTCCAGGAATTGACAGCTCAGTCCTGGGCTGCCTTCAGCCAAGCGTGACCAGGATTAACCAATCCATGCCACGCTATTGGCAGAGTGGCACTAGGGTTGGTGCAGTTAGCCTGGCTTACTGGGTTTGGCATGCAAAGACTGACCCTGCGGCTCTCTACCTAGTGTCAGCTGTATCAGAAAAGTCAGATTACTGCAATATGACAGTAATCACTTTCACTGCAAAAAGCCGCTCTTAAAAAAGGCTGCTTTTTTCGATTTCCCCCTCAAACTTGAATAACTTCACATTATTTTTCAAATACGTGGCTACAGGTAAACCTGTTGTTTGTCAGTATATTCCTGTGCCTCTGTGGATTTAAGTTTCTGAACTCAAACCAAATATCCTAGAAATATTAGAAACAGGACATAAGAATTTTGTGTTCAGATATGAAGTTCTTTGAAGAGATCTTCATGAAAGGGGATTCCAAAATCTCAATGCTGCCCAGTGGATTGTGGATCACCAACAGATGTCGGGAAACATCACAACCCTAAGCATGTACACAAATTCTTCAAATAACCTTAGGAAACAGCAACCTATAGTGTAGCACACTGCACAACAAGAAAAGCTGCATGGCCCTATGAGCATTAAACTTTAACATAGTTTTTTATGCTTCCCACTAAGCCCCTTAAATCAAAAACACCTTGCTTAAAGAAGTCTATATTTCACCCCTTTGTTTAAATTGGATAATCTCTTTGTCCATCACGGAGCTGTTCCATTAAGGTTCCCAGCATAACACAAGAGCCCTTTAGTACAAACATCTAAAGGTTACAGAAGCTTTTACAGCTTGCTATGGTAAACACGGGGACTGCTGTCAAGACTAGAATTAGAGCCTGTTTCTAGTTTCACATTTACACATTATAGAATTATTAATAACTGATCTGATCACTGATCTTGAGAAAGTGGAATATGTGAAAGAATATTCTTGCACTTGTATTCTGCGATGACAGGACCTAATAACTGGGACTAATAACTGAAATGTTAGTTGAGTAAATCTCCTGTTTTGCAATTGAAAGAAAAAAAAAGCATTATTCAGGACTTTAACAAAACTGTATATTTATCCAATTCAGGATAGTAGGGAAGTCTGAGCCTATCCCAACAAGCAACGGGCACAAGTCAGGATACAACCTGGACGGGACACCAGTCCATCACACAGACTAGTCAAAATTACATGATATCATATTATATTCAAACATCACTATTGTCTCATCTAATACAATGAAGTGAATAAGGCACCTCAGATCGCCCCCACTGCTGTCCACAGAGCTACGCCTAGATGCCAGTTCCCTGTCTAGTCACCAGCAGCCAGAACACACAGCTCAAAGACAAATACTGTGGAAGAGCCTGGTGTGCCCCTCCAATTCCACCTCACACTCCTGTTCTGGCATGGACAGCCAGGCCAAACCAAATACAGTGAAGCTGCGTCATCTGGCAGGCCTGCAAGCTCTGCTAATGCCAAAGCTGTCATCGAGACGCTCAAGGGAAGCAGTAAAAGCCGGGATGAGGTGCTTTTGTGTTGTGAAAAAGGCTGTAAAAACAATTAATAGAAACACTACA